ATATTTCTGTAGATTTAACCTAAAAACCTATTTGCCCTATTACTAACAACAGCACACTGCTTGAATGGCATTAGAGACTGATCGACTATTACACCAAGATCCCTTTCTGTCATAACACTGTAAGGTTATTCCCATCCAAATTATACTTATAATTCAAATTATGATAATCCAGATGCATTATATTTTATTTATTATAATTAAAACCCATCTGCCCCTGCTACAGAGAAGGCAACTACTCAACAGCACCCAACACCAACCCTTCAGCTACTTATATCTGACCGAATAAAAGGTTTTGACTGCTACCCTTATAATGCTCTCACACTGTCAAAGTCTCAAAGTGCAGAGCTTGATACTTTTCTTCGAGAATAGAACATAGGTTCACAGACTGGCATACTAACTATTGCTAGTACTGGGCCATACTTGGCCCACATCATAAACTTAACCGAATTTCTTCAAAGCACATGAACATTTTTAAGACTTTGTCACACCAAAACTTGCAAAAACTAGTAAAATTTCCAAATGATAAAAAATAAGATTGCTTGAATTAATTCTCATTAGTAGATACTTTTGCACAATTGCATTAATTGTAAATTACGTTACAATAACTGTGGAAATCAAGTGTATTGCAAAGTTGTATTGAGAAAGAATAAACTTGTTTTATTTAGGAAAGGACTTGTATCGCTGAAGTTACTCAGGAAGAATTTATACAGGAAATTAACAAAGGAACAGAGACGTAACAGTATTTAGAAACTGGTTATAAATACAACCTCCCCATGTTTATTTAAACAGTGCATAAAGAAAAAAATCAGAAAAGAAAGTAAATATAGGGATGGCTGATATCAATCTTTCAAAAACAATGCAAACAAGATAGTAGGGGCATTTACGTCATCCCAACATAAGAGCACAGGTAAGAATTAACATATAGCAATAAGTATAAGTATTCAATCACAATTGAGTTTCATATATATCCTATTTTTGTCTGTTAACATTTTACTACACTGTGTGCTTGTGCTATTATGTAGGGATGATGCAAATACCATCCCCACATTTACTTCCTGTATTTGAATTTTTTTTCTTTATTTGTTAACATTTTATTGATAAATACTGATAATTTCCCCTCTAACTGAGAAATTAATAGCAATGTAATTAATTCTTATTTCTATTTTCTGATCATTTTTCCCAATTTTAAAATTTAGATTCGTAACACTAAGCATTTATCGTCAGGATTGATGCCGGGTTTTCTATAAATAAGTAAAGAGTGTGAGATA